CTATTTATTATTCATGTATACAATTTAATTAACATTAAACATGTTATTTTCTTTATCATTTATTAACACACACACACACTCACACGCACACACACTCACACACACACACACACTCACACGCACATCTAAATGTTCAGCGCAAACCTAAGCAGCAGAGCATCCGTCATCGCAGATCCTGAGCATCAGTGCTGTCGCCATGACGACCGCAGCATCGTCCCGTGAAAAATGAACCGAAGGCACCTGAAGAAGATAAAAAGGGTCAGAAACGAGGGAGAGATGGAGTGAAGGAGAGCGGCGCGATCGATCGGCCGTGTTTGCCGACTGTAAGATGCTTTGGGGGGGAGGAAGTGAGAAACAAACGACAGGCACCACAGCATCGCCAAAGGTCAGAGGTCACCGTCACCTTGAGATATGATGTTGTGCGGCAGCCGCGCTCTGATTGGACGGCTGAACCCGACCCCCATCCTGCAGGAGAATTGATTGGCGGTGTGTTAATCAGCTGGACTGATGCTCTCTCGACACACACACACACACACAGTTAATTTGAACTAGATCAACAGGTGGAGAAAAGGTTAATGACTCCGTTTGTACAGACTGACAGCAGTGACACATTACAGTAATGAACACACACACTTACCTAGTTCACTAAACCAGATAAATACTTCAATACCATAGACACCGCTTTTGTTCAAAACTACAATTAACCAAACAATGTGTTTCCTTCACATTACAGAAGGAAAATGGGTTTTAAATGAGAATTCTCATTATTTACAGGTCATTTTACGGTTTCAGCACATCCTGAATTAGAAGAATCATATTTAGCAAAATATGTGTATGTGTAATATTGTGCATGTTGAGCCCTTCTGCTATTAAACACACACACACACACACAAGATGACTGACACGGTGTGTGTGTGTGTGTGTTTGCTGCCGTGGGCAGTGATTGATCTTCCCCTCGGCGCTGGCGTACAGTGAGAGGAGTCAGAGGTCAGCTGAGCTCTTGTCCGTCTCCCAGTGAGCATATTTGTTCTCAGCGTCTTCCTGCAGAGCATTCTGGGTCACAGATTACACCGTACAGTCACTAATGCTGTAATTCCTGCATTCAAACACTCAGAACACCTTAGCAACCGCATTGCAACACCCTAGCAACGTGGCAGCGAGTTTTGCAAGGGCAAATCAGAATTCATTTCTTCAGAGAATGTAAAACTAATTAAAATGCAATATAAACTGCATGAATTAAACAAATATGAATGAAACCACAGATTCATTAATGAGTGGTGGATTAATTGGACGCAGCAGCTGAGATATTGACATGATGTTGTCCGGTGGGAGACCAACAGCAATTCATGACGACTGGAGGATTGTGTGGCCTGTAGGACAAAGTTTTCTGCTTTTTCTGTCTAAAATACTGACCGAATGATAAAATAAGGCCCGAACCTCTGGGTGTTTTAAACCAGCAAACCAGACCGGCTTTGAGCTGTTGATAGCCGCAAAAAATAAAGCTAAATAAATAAATAACAACAACAATTAAATAAAAAAAATCTGATAAATGCTTCACTTTGAGCTGTCGATATCTGAAAAAAAAAAGCAATAAAATGCTTGGCTTGACTGATGTCTGTGAAATATAGCAAAATAATTGAATACAAATAATTAAAAAGAACGAGATTAAAATACACCAAATATATATATATAATATATATCAACATTTGATATATGCAAAAACAGCAAAATAATTGAATATATAAATTAAAAACAATATTAAAAAAATCTAAATTATTTTAATATTAACATTAGATATTTGTAAAATTAGCAAAATAGCTGAAATAAATTAAAAACAACAATAAAATAAAAAAAACAATAAAATGATTTTGTCATCAACATTTGATTATATGCAAAAATAAAATAATTGAATAAATGATAATAAAAAACAACAACAATTAAAATAAAAAAGCTAACATTTGATATCTGTAAAATTAGCAAAATAACTGAATTAAAAACAACAATAAAATAAAAACAGCAAAAAATTATTTTAATATCAACATTAACTATATGCAAAAATAGCAAAATAAATGACTCAATAACTCAAATGAAAACATCGGCATGCTTTTGATATCAACATTTGATATTTGCACACAATTAACATATATTAATAATCCTAAATATAAATAAAAAAAAAATATATATATATATATATTGATTGAAATAGATATTGACATTATTGTCTCCGGTGAGAGACGAACAGTAATTAATGCTCATTAGTGAAATTTTGGACTCCAAGATGAGCAGGAAATTTCACTGATTATTATTAATTACTGATGAATGTCAGTACATTCTGATCTGATCGGCTCTATAATCTTCATCTTCATCATCATCATCGTCAGTCCCAGTCCTGCTAATTATCAGATGAATCTGAATGCTGTTGATTTCTCTCTGGGCTTCTCTGGCAGCGCTGATAATATTTCACACTGAGAGCGTTCGTGAAGACCTGCATCTGTTCTTGCTGTCGTTCAGTGAATCTATGAACCGCTTTCTCCTGACCCTGAGAGGAATCAAATCTCCACAAAACGGCTGGAAAATAAAATCTTATTTATTCACTCTCAGAAATAACATTAGGCTGGACAGCAGACTGAAGTAAACCGATGCTCTCTATTAGAGCGAAAACCACTGAAGATCTGCTCACATTCAGAGACAAAACAAGCCTGAAAATCAAAACGCAGCGTCCCGATGGACTCCTTCACACATTTTCTGTCCTACAGGACAGTTTTTTCTGATGTCTAAAATATCCGCCGACTAATAAAATGAGCCCTAAACTTTAGGGTGTTTGAAATCAGTAAACCAGACTGGCTTTGAGATGCAAAAAAACAGCAAATAAATAAAATCAACAGTAAAATACAACAACATTTTATATCTGCAAAAAATATAAATTAATAAATAAATTAAAAACAACAACAACAACAAAACAATATTTCATATCTGAAAAAAGAATAGCTAAACAGACAAAAACAATGAAAAAATTGTTATAAACTGTCTAACTCTGAGCTGGTATCTGCAAAAAAATGAATTAAATTAATTAAAAAGAACAACAAAAACTGCAATAAAATGCTTGTGATATTTGCAAAATATATAAATAAAATAGAAAACAAGAACAAAATATTGTGATAAAATGTTTAACTTTGAGCCTTCAAAAAAGCAAAATAAATCAATCAAAATAACAAAAAATTGATCAAATAAAATAATTGTGATGAAATGTTTGACTTTAAACAAGTGACATCTGTAGGAATAAATAAATTAATTAATGAATTGACTGAAAACGACAAAATAACATTTTGAGCATATGATATCTACAAAAAATTGCTAAACTAATAAAATGAAAACAACAAAAAACATAAAATTGCACTAAAATATTTTAAAAACTGCAATAAAATTGAGCAGTCGATATCTGCAAAAAGAGAAATAAATAAATAACAACAAAATACAAATAACAATAGCAAAAAATAAAATGTAAAAAATTTAATAAAATGTCTCACTTTGAGCTGTTGATATCTGTAAAAAATTGGAACAAAAAAAAAATTTTTAAACCATACTGTCAAAAAAAACGTTAGTTCTGTAATATTAATTTTCTGTGTCTAGAACAGTTGTGTATGACATGAGCAAGAGTGAATTAGTACTGCATCTCTGATACGAACTCGTGTGAATGAAACAAACACCACGGGTGGTTCTCACGTTTACCTTTATTAACACAATTACACAACAAGATTTATTATCCAGCAACAGCATTAAAGCACAGCTTGATATAATGAATGTTGTACCGTTATTTCCCACACGAGTCTTGAGCGTTTCACATCTAATCTACAGATAAAGCATTTGTATTTACGTCCATTTATACGACTATTCACGCCAGAGAGAGAGAGAGAGAGAGAGACAGAGAGAGACAGAGAGAGAGACAGAGAGAGAGAGAGAGAGAGAGAGAGACAGAGAGAGAGAGAAAGAGAGAGAGAGAGAGACAGAGAGAGACAGAGAGAGCGAGAAAGAGGGGGAAATAACTAATATATGCAGGGGAAAAAATCAATCATCCTATGATTAGAGTTTTGCGTCAGTTCACGGGACGTTCAAGGACTTTTCCATTAGTCTAAACACACACATAAAAACCACGTCATGGGAAAAACAACCTCACACACACACACACACACACACACACACACAAAACCACGTCATGGGAAAAACAACCTCACACACACACACACACACACACACACACACACACACACACAGATCATCATGCAGATGTTATTACGACTTTAGACGTCTTTTAAACACTCATTTTTCAGTCTTTTTCTGAGATCCTGTGAACGTGACACAGTAAACTATCATGGAGGGAAAGTGTTTTATTTTCTCAGATGTGTGAAGAGTGTCGACATGCTTAAACTCGCAGCTTTGCGATGATTCTCCAGACAAATGCGTTATATTCATCCCAAAATCACAAGACAAACTGAAGAATTTACATTCTGCGTAAAGAAAATATAGCCTATTTTAGGACCATTAAGAGTTAATTATGTTTAATTAATCATTATGCTTTTGTATTTTGATTACAGTTATTTTCAAGAAATTATTTTTAATAAATTATATTAACATTTATGCTGTTGTTAATTCTGTATCATTCATTATATTTATTTTGTTTATTATTGCATTACTGTATGATGAAATACAGAATATATTAAGCCAGCAGTGAAAATAAGAAATGATCATTTGCATAACAAAATTTTTGCCTATTTTAAGATTTAAGACCATTACGATTGAATTATTGCCTATTCACACAAATGTAGTTAATCATTATGCTTTTGTATTGTGATTATGGTTATTTTCATAAGAAAAAAATTTAAACACTTAAATTATATTACAATTTGCTTATTTGCATGCTGAATGCTATAATTAATTTGACTTATTTTAAATGTTTATTACAGTATGAGAATTATTTTTTATATTACAGTAATCAGAATTTGATTCTCAAAATAGATTTAATTGTTATGAAAAACACTGCACAATGCAAAAAAACCTTAATGATCCTAAAATAGCTCTTCACGCAAATATAAAATTCTTTTTTGTTGTTAATTGTGGGATGAAATCCTGAATAAATTCAGCTGCTGTGACGTTGCAGATGCAGATTTCAATGTGTTTTACGTCACAGCCGTGTCTCTAGAATACACCTCTATCAGTGGATTACAGCAGACGGCGGCGTGTGGGAAAGCCAACGCGACTGCTTTTAAACGTGTATTTCAGTGCCAGTGACTTCACACGAACCAACGACTCACAAAAACACAGACAACAGCAAACCGAAGAGTTCACGACTACAGCACGAGCGCAAACAAAAACCATTCCTATGATACACGATATCACGATACGATTCCAGTCATTCAGTACGAACGAGGATTCTGCGATTCTAAATAACGTCAGCGAGGGATCTTTCTCTGATTTAGACCAAACGAGTCAAATGTGTGTTTATATAGCTGGAATGATAAAACAGCTTCAGCGAATCAACCGGAGAGAAAACTAAAATAAAACTCATATTTGCTTCGCCTGAGCAAAACCTCGCTTGACCGTCAAGCACAAAAACACGTTTTAGTGACCTGCAGTCCTTTATCATCTTCATAAATAGTCAAAAGAGAACAAAACTTCAAATGCTTTAAATAAACAGAGGAATGAAAGGAAGAGTGTAAACCAGTTGACAGCTCAGCTGGGAAGGTCAAAGGTCACGCGACCCCTGACCCCTCAGACCATGAAGCGGTGCTCCTTGCCGTCGTGGGCCATGAGGATGACGTTGCGGTTGGAGGTCCAGATGAGGCGGGCCAGTTTGAGGGCGTTCTGGGATCCGGGCGACGCCGGCTGGACCGGAGGAACCTGATAGGTTTTGATGCAGCGCAGCTGAGGAGCCGAGTTCAACATCCCGATGCTGCCTAACAGAGACGTGTTCATCTGAGACAGAGACAGAGAGACGCGCAGTCGTGAATGAAGACCTGCACTCAGTACTATATATATATATATATGTGACCCAGGACCACAGAACCAGTCATAAGGGTCAATTTTTTTGAAATTGAGATCTATACATCATCTGAAAGCTGTATATATAAGCTTTCATTGATGTATGGTTTGTTATGATAGGACAATATATGGTCGAGATACAACTATTTGAAAATCTGGAATCTGAGGGTGCAAAAAAATCTAAATATTGAACACTGTCCAAATGAAGTTCTTCATTTGAAGTTCTTCATAGTAATATGCATTCTTCAAATGAAGAATGCATATTACTAATCAAAAATTAAGTTTTGATATATTTACGGAAGGAAATTTACTAAATATCTTCATGGAACATGATCTTTACTTAATATCCTAATGATTTTTGGCATAAATTTTTTTTTATAATTTTGACCCATACAATGTATTGTTGGCTATTGCTACACTTATACCCCAGCGACTTATGACTGCTTTTGTGCTCCAGGGTCACACACACACACACACACACACATATATATATATATATATATATTAGGGCTGTCAGTTTAATGTGTTAATTAGTTATGAAAAATAACACAAATAAAATATTTTAACGCAGCTAATGCACTGGCTCCGCCCCCAGATCTGTACATCATCTTACATTTCATACAGTTGACTGTTGACAAATAGGCCTATGATGCAGGGCAACAACTCCATAAATGCAGTTATGCCCTAAAATTCAAGATATTGGGGCAAAAATGCTCCTTTTTAAAAAAAAGTTTTTGTCTCATATTTCTATCACACGAGCAGCGAGAGCAACAGGCCTATCACACGAGTGCCGTTTATGCCCGAATACCACGAGTGCAAATGTGGGGAAAAACTGAAAAAAAAATTTAAAGGGATAGTTCACCCCAAAAAAATTTAATTATGCCATAATTTACTCAAACCTGAATGACTTACTTTCTTTTGTGGAACATAGAAGAAGGTATTTTGAAGACTGTTGGTAACAAAGCTGTTTTGGTTACCAATGACCTTCATTGCATGAACGAAAAAAAAGAAACATTTGAGATGTTTCTCAAATTATCTTCTTTTATGTTCCATAGTTCATGTTGGGCCGTTGTAGCCTAAATGTTACATTTTATGTTGAATCAAATAAAATATTTCTTTCTAAAGTTACTATTTGTAATGTCTACTTAATACTTTCTCATTTAACACAAAAATAGCTTTAAATAATGTTTTGGGGATATTTTCACAGCCAAATGTAATTTGCGATTAATTCGATTAATTAATCAACACATCATGTAATTAATTAGATTAAAAATTTTAATCGACTTACAGCCGTAATATATATACATCAGGTTTCTGCATCATTCAGAACAGAAGTGAAAATGCCTTTACACTTCAATTCAGCTCCTGAAAACAGGACACAGGTTGCAATCTAGATGCAAAATTGGAATTGGAATTTGAATGTAAGTAGGATTAAAACAATTTGAACTTCAAATTCAATTTTTTTTCTAGAAAAGCAAAAATTGTCAAAACAAACTTTAAATGTTAGCTAGATAAACCCTTGTTTGAATTTTTTTTTAAAAAGCCTTGACATTTATAGGTTTATAGGATGGATGGATGACTAGAACAATGGAGGATGGATGGAGGATGGATGGAACAATGGATGAAGGATGAATGGACGGATAGTTAGAAATATGGATAGATGGATAGAATGATGGATGAATGAATAGAACAACAGATGATGGATGGATGGATAGAATGATGGATGGAAGGATGGATAGAATGATGGATAGAACAATGGATGGATGAATGGATGATTGATATAATAATGGATGATGGATAGATCGATGGATAGAATAATGGATGATGGATGGATGGATGGATGATGGATAGAATAATGGATGGATGAATGGATGAAGGATGAATGGATAGAAATATGGATAGATGGATAGAATGATGGATGAATGGATAGAACAACAGATGATGGATGGATGGATGGATAGAATGATGGATGGAAGGATGGATAGAACGATGGATGGATGAATGGATGATTGATATAATAATGGATGATGGATAGATCGATGGATAGAATAATGGATGATGGATGGAACGATGGATGGATGGATGATGGATAGAATAATGGATGGATGAATGGATGGAACAATGGATGGATAGAATAATGAATGATGGATGGATGGATGGATAGAAAGATGGATGGATGGATAGAAAGATGGATAGAATGAATGACTGACTGATGGATGGATGGATAGAAAGATGAATGGATGGATAGAAAGACGGATAGAATGATGATGGATGATAGAAAGATGCATAGAATGAATGATTGATGGATAGAAAGATGGATAGAATGATGGATGGATGGATAGAATGATGGATATATGATAGAAAGATGGATGGATGGATAGAAAGATAGATAGAATGATGGATGGATGGATAGAATGATGGTTGGATGGATAGAAAAATGGATGGATGACAAAGCTGGATAGAATGATGGATAGAAAGATGGATGGATGACAAAGATGGATAGAATGGATATAATGATGGTTGGATGGATAGAAAGATGGATAGAATGATGGATGGATGACAGAAAGATGGATAGAATGATGGTTGGATGGATAAAAAGATGGATGGATGATAGAAAGATGGATAGAATGATGTATGTATGGATGGATGGATAGAATGATGGATGGATGACAAAGATGGATAGAATGATGGTTGGATGGATAGAAAGATGGATGGATGGATAGAATAATGGATAGAATGATGGTTGGATGGATAGAAAGATGGATGGATGATAGAAAGATGGATAGAATGATGGATGGATGGATAGAAAGATGGATAGAATGATGGATGGATGACAGAAAGATGGATAAAATGATGGTTGGATGGATAGATAGAAAGATGGATGGATGATAGAAAGATGCATAGAATGATGGTTGCATAATCTTTATTTTAATGTTTTTTATTTATATTAACATTTATAATCACATTAGTATTTTTTATTTATATTTCCTATATTCTTTATATTTTTGATATTTGTATTGATTCTCTGACACTACATGCAACAAAAACAGACAAAAATCTGAACAAATTTGACAAATCTGAACATGAGATGGAGCCATGTAAGATAAGCGAAACACACACACACACACAGGAAGCTCTAGAGTTCCAACACACTGAGTCAGTCAGTCTACACACACACACACACACACACACACACGGTGCTCCAGAGAGGGTAGGGCTTCAGCGGTGTCAGACGGCCAGTCGCCCTCATCCCAGCCTGGGCGAGCGAGAGGCGGACGCCTGCAGACCCTGGAGGACTGGAGAATTCATTAGCACACACACACCATTCAGACAGCCCAGTTTAGTCTTACAGTAATGATACCATTAGCCTGGAAGGCATTCTCACACACACACACACACACACATACAGGAAGAGAAGAGAAGAGGAGAGAAGACGACTCGACGGTGTTTCTGAAAGACCTGCTCAGGACAGACGCTCACGGGACGCTCTGAGTCTCTGTTCAGACGACTGTCCAAAGATGTTTAAACAGATTCAGGTGAAGTACAACACATCTAACTGCAGGACACTGCTTCACATTTCATGCCAAATACCACCATAAAATACTATCACCATTCTATTCTCACCATAGACTACTCTTATAGTTCATTCATTTCTGAATTTTTATATTATACTTTTATTTTTTACATTTACATTTCTATTTTTATATTTATATGTATATTTACATAATTTAACTTTACATTTATATTGTATTATTTTTTATAATACATAATTTAACTTTACATTTATATTATGTATTATTTTTTATAATACATTTATATTTTTATATGTATACTTGCATTTACATTAATATTAGTTTAGATTTACATTTATATCTATATTTACTTTTACATTATTTACCTTTTCATTTATATTTTTATAATATATATATTTTTAGATTTATATGTACATTTATATGTTTTCATTGCTATTTCTATTTATTTTTATATTTATATTAACTTTTATATTTACTTATGTTTTTATATATATTATATTGGACCAGCTGGAGTTTGTTTATTAAGTGTTATATTATTTATATTTATAATTATATTTATATTATTTAGCCGCTCTCAGTCTCTAAATGACAAATTTGAAATCCTTTTTTTTTTTTCTCAAACAAGGGTTTATCTAGCTGACATTTAAAGTTTATCTTGACCATTTTAAGCTTTTCTAGTAAAAGAAAGTTATTTGAATTTCAAATTGTTTTAATTCTACTTCTTTACATTCAATTTTGCATCCTGTTTGCAACCATAAGTGACTCTTTGAATCTAGAGGTCAGAGGTCAGGGGTCTTCACCTGCCAGAAGGAGATGTGGCTGTCAGCGTTGGAGTAGGTGGCCAGATAACGTCCGTCCGGTGCGAAGGACACCGCCGTTATGGGTCCTTTATGTCCGTGAATATGCTGTGGAAATAAAAACAGGCACAGGTTTAGACAGCTATCTCTTATATCACTGCTCAAACATCTCGTTCATGCTCATCTCCTGTAAGAAAACCCCATCTCTTCCTGTTCCTGATGCTTCATGTTGAACTGTACTGAAAGAAAAGGCAGCGAGGTCAGCTGAAGAGTGTGTGTGTGTGTGTTAAGAGCTTTATGAGCCACTCTGAATCATGGGAGGGGGTCCTGCAGCTGCACTAGTGCATTGTGGGATTGAGACGGGTACCACTGTGAAGAGACTGCTGACATGCCTCAATAATAGTGTGATTTTCAAAATAAATATTAATAAACAAATAAATATATTATAATTATATAGCAATCTATATTTCAATATTATATATTTACATATAATATAGAGCATAGTGACAGTACCGAATTATAAATTAATAATAACAACGTAACAAAAATAAAATATTAAAACTAATATATAATTGTGTAATATAAATATATAATCACTATAAAATATACAAATAACACATTATTATTATTGCTATATTTACAAGCAACATTACATAAACATCAACAAATACAAGCATTACAAATTAAAATAATAAAAAAACAAAATAGTATAATATGAACATATATATTATCACTATAAAATACAACAATATATACTGTTTTATTCTTATTATTATCCGTATTATTCGTATGTTATAATTACTTAGAACATTACATGAAATCTGCATAAATACAGTAAATGAAATAAATAATAAAATAAATATATAATTGTATACTATAAATATATTATCACTATATAATAAATCAATATTTATTTCAATATACTTAAAAACAATAAAATTAAAAACACAAATCACAAAAATAGCCTTACAGAAGAGTATAGTAACAGTAATGATTATCATATTCATAAACCAAGATATTTATTATAGATGTTATTCCAAGGCACCTTAAAGGCATCCATATTTATAGATCATCACCTGCGCAGCATTTAGCAACTTTTCTTTATTAATTCATTATAGTAGCATCAATTTATACCTATTTTATGCTCAAACATCTCGTTCATGCTCATCTCCTGTAAGAAAACCCCATCTCTTCCTGTTCCTGATGCTTCATGTTGAACTGTACTGAAAGAAAAGGCAGCGAGGTCAGCTGAAGAGTGTGTGTGTGTGTGTTAAGAGCTTTATGAGCCACTCTGAATCATGGGAGGGGGTCCTGCAGCTGCACTAGTGCATTGTGGGATTGAGACGGGTACCACTGTGAAGAGACTGCTGACATGCCTCAATAATAGTGTGATTTTCAAAATAAATATTAATAAACAAATAAATATATTATAATTATATAGCAATCTATATTTCAATATTATATATTTACATATAATATAGAGCATAGTGACAGTACCGAATTATAAATTAATAATAACAACGTAACAAAAATAAAATATTAAAACTAATATATAATTGTGTAATATAAATATATAATCACTATAAAATATACAAATAACACATTATTATTATTGCTATATTTACAAGCAACATTACATAAACATCAACAAATACAAGCATTACAAATTAAAATAATAAAAAAACAAAATAGTATAATATGAACATATATATTATCACTATAAAATACAACAATATATACTGTTTTATTCTTATTATTATCCGTATTATTCGTATGTTATAATTACTTAGAACATTACATGAAATCTGCCATAAATACAGTAAATGAAATAAATAATAAAATAAATATATAATTGTATACTATAAATATATTATCACTATATAATAAATCAATATTTCAATATACTTAAAAACAATAAAATTAAAAACACAAATCACAAAAATAGCCTTACAGAAGAGTATAGTAACAGTAATGATTATCATATTCATAAACCAAGATATTTATTATAGATGTTATTCCAAGGCACCTTAAAGGCATCCATATTTATAGATCATCACCTGCGCAGCATTTAGCAACTTTTCTTTATTAATTCATTATAGTAGCATCAATTTATACCTATTTTATTAAGCAGTTATTGTCTTGATAAGAGCATTATAAAACATTTTAATAAAGGCATTTTGGTCAGCTTTCTTTTCTAATTTAAGATGGTTTCATGACTAAATTCAGTGTTTTTCTGACCCTGAAAAGCAGACCTTCAGATGAACAGATGATATTATCATAAAACACTGTGAACACAGTTTCTCGTCCCAGGACAGCAGAGCATCAGACGTCTGTATAAAGGCCTGTAAACGAGTGTTTGATCGAATCCGGCGCTGAAATGAACGGCGGCTGTGGGAATGATAAACAGCTGCTGGAACGCAATAATCTGTCCGACCTGTCAGAAAAAACCCTTCATAACGCAGCCATTAGATTAGAGAGAGACGCGCGGCGATATGAGAGCAGCACGCTAACACAATCTCTCACGATTAAAGATCAAACAGCCTCACCTGACCCGCGTCTGGAATCTAAATCTGACAGCAGAAATAAAGACACGGGACGCCAGAAATATTGGCCTGTCAGATCACGACGGCTCACCGAAAACTTCAGCAGACAGAAAAACACCGGAAAATCAACTGTGAATGACTTTCTGTGTGCTTTCAAATCCACAAAGCAGGGT